GAGAATTGGCATACGCAATGGAAAGTCTATATTCTATAATATATATATATTTTCCAAGATGCACTAAAATTGGAACAAACTGTAGCTATTTTGATCAATGGATGGATGAATGACCATAGGCAGTGTCAAATATAGGTTCACAATATAATAATATTTGTAAGACTGTTTAAGATGAAAAGGGAAATTGGCATGATGAACTTTCATTCTTGTGGCCTAATGCGATGGAATACACATGGAAATCAATACGTTGTTTAGAAATGAAGTTATAAATCCAGGAACAAATTCACTGCTGATAAATTTATCAAACTTGTCTTCATTCAATACAAACCAATATTAGCATTGATACAAATCGTGCAAGCTTTTAGTGGTGTCAAGCGTCTTAGAAGAGTAAGCATGTCGTGCCTCGTTAACGAAGGCTACAACACAGATTCTACACTGGTATTAGATCAAGTCGGTATGTGCGGCTTGTAAAACATCTTCATGTGCAGAAGAACTTAATTATTTATTTAGTCTTGCCTGCCATAGAATTGTTAGAGTACACTTTGGAATCAATATCAGGCCTGGAAATTAGAAATCAGTATGGCAGCCGGCACTATTAATAGTCTTGCTAGTTTCTGATACAAGGAAAATGGTAAATATGAAGTTCCTGATATTGATAATTTCTATAGAATGTCAATAAGAAATTTAACAGGTTTAACTTTACAGTCAGTATTGACTAATAGCCAAACCATAAATAGATTGCTTTCTCCTTGTTAACATTTTCTAATTAGTCAGTTATTTTTTGTTCTATTAATTGAATTAATATGTTTCTAATGATCTTTAAATGTTAGTTTCCATATTTCAAAAAGGTCAGTTACAGCTGTCCTGTTTCAGTGATACTTAATGCTAATGTTATCATCACTCTGTACATACTGAGAAAACTGGTATTCCTTAGGAATGTTACTTCTAATTTCTATCAAAATAGAAACCCTAAATCAGAACCTATTGTATAATATCTTTATCTACAACATTTCACACTATTTCTAGCCAAAGGCAATATATAAAGATAAGGAGTAAATAAATGTATGTATATTCCTTAAACCAGACTCATTTATTTGCTCCTATTCAAAAAGCAGTGAATTATTAATGTGATATCGATGTAATGTTATGCAATTATGGATGTATTTTGTTTGGAAATGTTATGTAACTAAAAAAATATTTATGTGCCAGTTATCTAAGTAGGTCATCATGCAAAAACTACAAACACTATTGGAATCAGTAGCTATATTTTAGATGTAAGATATATATATATAAAACATCACAGCTAGATATTGAGGATAAAAATAACCTCTTCCAATAACCACATATTACCAAACAATTTTTAACCATCGACCAAATGGCCTTTTCATTCATGTAAATTGTACTGGGAATCATAACATAATAACACAAAGAATACCATTACCATGTGTTCTTGATTTAAATAATCAATGGTAGAATATCTCCAGGCTACCCACCATTTGGTGGAGTGGTAACATTCCTACTTGGCAATAACTCAATTTTCTACCTTCTCATTTACTCTGCTACCAGTGCCAGCTTTGGTAAATATAATTGGTTTTGATTTACCAGATTTCAAGCAAGTACAGATATTTTAACGTAACCTTTCTAGCTTTGATGTTACTTGTTAATTTGAGAGAATAAATAAATCTCCAGAAAACTGAAGTTATCTTCAAATGAATTGAAGGATAGGAGAATTTACAAAGCTGTTCTAAAGAAAGAAAACGTCAATACAAAAATGATAAAAACATTTAGCGTGTTGCATGAGAGGACATCCTCAAATCAGGATTTGGAATGTCTTGGTACTAGGTAACACCTGAAAACATTAGTATTGTATAGTACAATTATTTATATTCTCCAGAAATAAAAATGGGATTGGCTATGATATGATTTAGTCAGATAACTACCAAAAAGTTACAATTTGTTTTTTAGTCTACATATGTATACATATTTTGTTCTATATGGTATGTGAAGTGATTTATAAGTTTGACTAGGTTAAAAGACTTGACATCCCTACCAAATTTTAATAAAAACTTGAATACATGTATTGCCAATTCTAGGTTTCTGAACAGACCACAAAATAATGATTGCATAATCGTACACATTTATCATATTAGGTCAGATTGGGAATGCATTATATAATGTTTCTAATGATTGATCCTAAAAAGAATAATACATCAGCACATTGGGGGTGTATAGGTACCCATATCAGTACTCTTTCTAATTTTTCTATACAGTCAGATTTGACTGGCACATTATGATGTAAAGGTTAACTTCCTATATACCATCACTTTAACCACTGGGCATGTAAAATATCTTCCTCTTAGAAACACTTAATGAAATCTTAGAAATTAATTAAGATTGAAGAAATAGGAAGGGAATTAAAAAGTGTTGAGGACATGTGTTATTTCCTGTGCGTGTTATTAGTTATAATATATATTATATGGTAAACTATCCACTCTCCTTTACCCTACATCAATATTTAATATGGCCTATAATTTACTAGTATTATTAACCATTTTCTTAAAGGTTAGAACTTAATTATTTACATATACAATCTAGATATCATTATCATCATTCCACAGTCCATACTGGGTTAGTCTGATGATATCATAGTCTTAGAACTTAAAAATTAATGAAAATATAATGAAACCAGTCCAGCACTGACATAATAAGAGTGGAAAGAGCAATTTTGACCCAGATAAGCTGTATGACTAGTCAACTCTGTGGTTTATAGTCAGTGAGGTAGTATTACAGGTAAGCTTAGCTAGACTCTGCACTGGAAAGCACAGTAGGGGACTTCTTAAAGCAAGCTGACCCAGATCCTGAAATTAAGGATAGATAGTTGTTTAACTCAGACTTACAGTGGCATTGTAGGCTATGAACAAAGCAAATTAGCCACAGCAACTTTCAGATTGCACATATAATGGTACTTATAACATAGTTTCTTTGGAACAAGAAAACATCTTTTACTTTCAAGTATGAATCATGGGCTGACAGGTGTTGAAATACATAATTAGTGTTGACTTTATCTGTGATAAAAAATGAACTAAACTATTATATGCTTGAAGAGGGTAGAATGATGTTATATGAGACAAGACAAAATATATAACAATACTTTCTTTATATTGTCACATTCCATACTTCTATTATTAAATATTGTTACTTTCTCACCTAGTTATAAAAATAGGTTACATAGAACTCTTCCTAATAGACACTGATCTTAAAACTTGGATCAAACACTGGTTAAAAATTATAAGCCTATACTGTAGCAGGCAAAATAGTATGTGGAAAAATTTACTAGAGCTTTATACTTACTGAACTTACTGAGGTAATGTTATAGCACTGCCAACAATGTGTTTTGGTCTAGTGGATAAGGTAAATGACCTTTTTGTACATGAACATGATATGACATAAATCTTCTGTTTCCAAAACTTATTGCCAATCCAAACCATGGTCTTTGGAAGTATTTGTTGTAATAGGTTTATATCCTAGATGCAAGAGACCTCTTGTCTTTTATAAATAATTAGTTCTGTACATTTCATCAATTAGTAAAGACAACATTGAGAAGATTCTTGTGAAAGAAAGACACAAAATCAACTCATTACTTAATAATGTCTTGAGCTCTCATGTTAACAAATGTTAATAGATAATTAAGTTAAAATGTACTCTTTGATTTTTCTGAACTAGACTGAAACCATCTTGGTGAAACTTGATCAAAGCAAGACAAAAGCTGTTAATGGGTTGATAAAAACTTTTCATGTATTAGTTTCCATTGACGTGTTGCATCATATTGTATTGAAACTTTGAAACAATGAATTGTTTGTGTTAGTCAGTTTAGTTCTGTTGAAACAAATTGTAACAAGTACCAACTGTTTAAAGAATTGATGTAGATAATCTGAAACTTGTTCTTAAAGATGTTGTTAATAGATGTTATCTAGCTGGATTTAGATAAACTAAATAATTTGTACATCATTTTTCACATGAAAGTTGGCAAACAATTAAACAGGATATTTCAATAATTAACAAATGTTTACTTTGTCATAGAAAGTTAACAAATTAATTGACACAGTTTTGTTTTACTGACTCATGCCTATCTAACATCTATCCAAAAAAACTCTCCATATCACACCATCCATGTCCTAAGTAGTCAGGTAGTTTCGGACTATAAGATGAGATAATAAGGCTTGATAATGCGATCTTTAGATATACGATACTACTTATACCAGCTCAACTAGAAAAGACATGTTTGTCATCTGTATTTATTTATCTTTTTATATCTACTCCAGCATAACTTACATTCTTCTTCATCCATTCATGAATCTAACTTGATAACTTTTACCCAGGGATGTTGTTTCATTTATTGTGCCAGACAATGTTAGGTGATTCAGTAATCTTATAGATAGAAGTGATTATCAGTATTTTATTGCAGTAATATTAAGATGTATAACATAGTTTTGATGAACAGCACATTTGATGATTTAAGTAGTGCATTCGATTGAAATTTGATTTCTTAATATGAACAAATATCCTATGAAATCAGTGGTACATAACTGATGAATAGAGAATGTCATCTCCCCATACAAGTTTTCTGAATCTCTTATTTCTTACAAGTTTCATCTCGTATACATGGCATAAATTGTTTGGTTCAGGTGATGTGATTGGTCACGATTTGTGTTGAGTACTTATTGTTCAAATGAGGATAGAGATCGTTTGTCACTAAGATGACAGTTAACTTGTTTTGATGCTTGGTTTTATCATGTGTTACTAATCATGCATGCTTAATCTTCATCATCTTGAATTGCTCTTAAACAATTGTAGCTTCTCGTGTTCACAACAAATTTGTTCGTGATATATGTATATTAAATAACAAATAAAGTAAAGGGTTCTAGTTTTACCTTGTGTTTAACACTGATTTTGAAAAATATTCCCAATATCTTATGAGTCTTTCTTTTTTTTCTTTCCAGGTTGCAAAATCAAAGCTTTACGAGCAAAAACCAACACATACATCAAAACCCCAGTTCGTGGTGAGGAACCAGTGTTTGTTGTCACAGGAAGAAAAGAAGACGTGGGTTTAGCAAAACGTGAAATAGTGTCAGCAGCAGAACATTTTAGCCAAATCAGGGCTTCACGTAGGAATAGCAGTGTATCTAGTGTTTCGAGCAATGGATCTAATTTAACACCAGGCCCACCAAGTCCTAATGCTCCAGGACAAATAACTATTCAAGTTCGTGTTCCTTATCGAGTAGTTGGATTAGTTGTTGGTCCTAAAGGTGCTACAATCAAAAGAATTCAGCAACAAACACATACCTATATTGTGACACCAAGTAGAGACAAGGAACCAGTTTTTGAAGTTACAGGATTACCAGAAAATGTTGAAAAGGCTCGACACGAAATAGAAAGTCATATAGCATTACGCACTGGTGATTTGGTGAATGGAATCAATGGTTTTAGTTCATACGACAACGATGAAGGAATAAGTTCACCATCTTATGATCCATTTGTTCCTCCTACGTATCCCTGGACGGAACTCGGGGACAATTTTAACTCCCTAGTCTCCTTAATGAATGGTAACTGTTCTCCTGCTGAAAATAGTTCCCGAAACAATTGTTGGTTTATTGGCGGTGTACCAACCACAAGAACATCACCCTCACTTCCAGAAAGTGGCACACAAAGTCAGGGCAGCGGTTCACCGAGCAATATCTCTCCTGTACCTGGAGATCACCCCACCGTGAGAAGAATCAGAAGTGATCCACTGAGCAATGGATTAACCAATGGTACATGCATAACAAATGGTTCCTGTATGAATGGTCTGCCTACCACCTTTGGATCTACCTCCAACCTTGATCGCCCTTCCTCGACAAGCCCAATTCTGGATGCAAATGGTGTGGTGCGTCCGAGAAGACATTGTCTTATTTGCTCAGAAAATGAAGTGGTTGCAGCACTTGTTCCATGTGGTCACAATTTATTTTGCATGGATTGTGCCTCGTCTATTGTTGGAAAACCTATGGCTGAAAGATCTTGTCCAGTTTGTCAACAGCCACCATCTCAGGCTATTCGAATCCTTTCCTGATTGAACATCATGACAAGTAACATGAGATTAACATTTTCTACCCAACACTGCCTTAATGTGGGGCTACCTACTTTCTGATGGCTGGGGTTGTTGTCCTTAAATCTCCTGACAAATATCAAGAGTTTTCTAGACAGGAACTTCACTAAATTACAACTCAGCTTTCTTTTTGAGGTCAGCAAGACCTCTCTTTTAGTGCCAAAATGATTCCAAAACCCCTTTAAATGATCACTACTGTAGTATGGAAGTAGAGGTTTCTATTTTTTGGCAGTGGTATGGCGAGTTTTACACATACCCATTTTTATATATCAATGTTTCGCATTTCAAGTATCAAATTATATATTCTATATCTATTCATAATGAAAGTGCAAAAATATGGACTTGTGGATATATGAAAATAATCTAGTAAAATAAATATGGTGTGTATCTATGAGGTATTAATGATACTAGAGGAGACGTATAGTTTGTATGTTTATAATTAATGTATTATTATATTAATATATTCTAATTAATGTGTGGTGTTAAGCTAACACCAAATTATGTGTTCGGTGTCCCATTCTCAAAACTGAGAAAAAAACCCTTCTAAATGAAGAAACGTTATTTTATGAAGGAAATGATGGGATTATAAGATCGTCTCTTGTCTGATATTTTTAAGTGCTTCTCAGTGGTCAATGTGTTAAATGTTTTCATGTTTTCTTATATCCATCTATTCATTGTTCAAATATTTAACTATGCATATTCATGTCTTAAAGGCAGCCCAAAATAATAATTAACCTAGAGGCTTCAAAAACCTCCAAATTATTTTTACATATTAGTGTTATCAGCTCTCATAACCCTACTATATCTATCCTTTCATCATCTCTTATCATCTTCATCATCATTTCATCATCCCAATGAGCATCATACTTCATAGCCTAGGACCCTAAAAACCTTCCACCACCTAAATGTTTCAAATTTCAACAAATGAAGTATTTTGACTGGTTAATAAACGGCAATTAACAAAATTTCTAAATGGATTTCTTTTTCAAAAATTTCAAATCTAGATTATTAAAAAAATTGATTTTATAAATGACAGTAAAGTTTGATTGTTTGTAATGTATTTAAACATTTAGGTTGGTGGAAACGCGTTTAAAAAAAAAAAAAACCACAACACTTCCAAAAATAGATGGAGTTAAGAAATTCATACTTTGAATTATTGTTTATCCTTTTAAAGGTGAAATGATGAATTATGTTTAAAAAACGAAGATAAAGAGATATATTCCCATCATTACCAATTCTTGAACATAATTTATGATAATATATATAGTTCAATATATATAAATATATGCATTTGTTATATTATAATGTCTGAATGACTGTGTTGTTAGTTTTATGTTGGTTTGAAGAATGTTCGCAATGTGAGATTCTTTTAAGATTATATTTTACAGCAAGACATATTTTATAGTTTATAAAATAAGAAAAAAAGACAAAAAAATACAAATAAATATAACATTATTTTATTCTATATGGTGTAACTGCCCGAGATGGGTGTAATATATTCTATGTGTCAATCCTGTTTATCTGACTTCAGTAGTTGGCTTGTGTTTTAGATGTGCGATTTTTATGAAGCAAATTTGCAATATTTTAAAAGCTTACATGTTATGGAACTATTTATTAAAGTTGTTGAATGAAATGATAAATCATTGTTGATTTGTTGAAGTTATGTTAGTTGATGGATTTTAATTTATTTGCATTCTAGAAAGAGAGTGACAAAGCTAATTCTATATCAAGAAAATGGTAGAACTATGGAAAATGCCTTTGGTTTTTAGGAAATCTGAAATCCAAAGTAAATAGCAAAATATATCTGTGTAGTGTTACAGATTTTGTGTTTGTTGTCAAAACATTACCATATTAAGATGTAGAGTTAGTCTTGTCATTCTCTTTCAGCTTATTTTAATAACAAGCATCTGATATAAGCCAATGTCAGACCAGATATTTGGGATTATTTAATGTTAAACGTACAAGAGAAGTTTGTTTATGCTTTAACCATTAATTTATAAAACTATTCAAGTTTGAAATGATATCAAAAGAGTACCATTGCTACCAGTCCCCGTAGTTTTATTGGTCATAACCTGTGTCCTTCTAAATTATCAGAAATTCTGATTCATTCAATGTTACCATTTAATCAAAATATGCAATTTCCTCTGGTAAAATTTATATCCATCAAAATCATTGATAATCTCTTCACAAGAGAAATTTCCAATATCGGGGCAGGTGTGTTCATAATCGAATTTTCCAATGTCATGGAAATTGTGTTCACTATCAAATTTGGTAATGTCATGGCGATATTGTTCTTGACCATGTTATGTTCATATTACAGCTGATGCCATGAACATTGTGTTCATTAATCCTGGTCAATTCGATCATCATGCAATGGCTGAATTGTTCAAGAGAGCTGGTCGAATGACATCATTTCCAACTTCATATGTATAAATGGAATTCTATGAACAAATCCTATGTAATGTTGCACTTAAATAGTTTAGATTTTTCTATTTTAATATTATTATTTACTATTTGACTGTATATGATTGTAGACGTTTATAAAGACAAAATACCATATAAGATGAAAAGATATTTTTATTTTAATAAAGACCACTAAATAAATGGTCGATACTAATATTATTATATTTGCCGGAACTCAATTATAAGAGATGTAAGATTTTATTTTTCTGCCATTAAAGTAAAGTCGAAAATTTAAAAACTTGTTTTTCCTTCAATTACATCAACCTGCAGTATTTGTCAGTTTGAAGCCAGAGCATTGACAAAGTATTCAACAACGATTGATCAATACCAGATCAGAGCGCACTGATGCCATTCTTAAACTGTCAACTTCCATTTGTCAATAAATTGGCTATAAATTTCCAATAGTATGATTATATGATAATTCCATTTGACGATAGATAGTTTAAATATTTCTTCTAAAGTTCGATATCAGTGGAAACTGAGACTATACAGATTTTTAATAATGATTCTAGAAACAATGGTCGATAAAGTATGATAAAAATAATCGAGGTACACTGAGTACAGAACAATTATTGGAAATTCCAAGGTACATCTAATGTACCATGAACCAGGAACATAAACAGTGCATTTGTGACTATAGCATATTATTGGACATGTTGTCTAAAGCACGAATTAAATGGAACCAATTCTGATAATTGCATGCCATGATTGGAGATTATTTGGGGACAAAATCCGAATACTGGAGAGTTATCCCCTTTTCAGAAGGTGTCGTCTGAACAGTGTTCACTGGCGCCATTATCAACACAAAACATGCCCTCATGTTATGGATATGTATCCCTGCTGATACTCGTAGAGTAACTGATCGTCACAATTTTTGGCGTTGAATATAATCTTTCCATTAAAAAGAAATGGAGTGACGTTAAAAACTATGTCTTTATACCTGACCTATATTCACAATGGCTCCAAGGTCGCTTTGGCCATTTCAGTCTCTTAAATGCGTCGTCCCTGATACACCAGAAGGTATTCTGGATACCTTAGGGCACCGGAAATAATCCATGAAGATGAATTCAAGGCTAAAAAATCAAGAAAAATCGTCAGGAGACCTCTATACATGTGTATAATCCATCTTGCACTCGTACCGAAGAAAGCCCTGAGCAACAATCGATTATGAACGAGCAGATGAACCTGCCTGGCTACTAATTACATCACTCTCCAGTAGCAGCAGATTGATTAACCACGTGAACATTAATTAATAAAGATATGGTGAGCATAAAGCTAGTTCTAAATCTAATTACTGATCTCATTGTTTTCAGTACATCATAACATTGTAAGGAGAACGAATAAATAAACCAAGTACTAACGATCCGAACCGCAAAATCCAAACAGTCCCGTAATGCTACAGGGGGGCAATTGTGAGACCAATTCCATTACTGCAACTAAACACCATACACCGCTGCCTTTCTGGATATATTACTTTCCCCTCTAAACAATCAAGTCTGGCTACAGGCCTGAATCCAAACAACATTTTGGTGAAATATTAGTAGCAGATACTTTTTTCATATGAGGAAGTATATCATTCAGAAGCGAGTAAGTATTTCATAATGGAAAGTGATATCAGGCGTCTAGAAGAGTAAGCATAACTTGCTTGGCGCCACTAATCCGATATGTTTGTCCATCAGAAGCTTGGAACAAAATTACGTTCTCATACAACCCCGAAATGAAATGGATTTGACTTTTATGGATTACTTGTCCGGTCCCAAATGCCCCAAGAAAGACAAGCAGCGTCAGCGTGAGAGAATTTTACCAGGATAGCGGCAGCAGACTTGACTGTGTCAAAATGCACCTAAAATAGACTTGTAAGCACGATACAAGCTTGATTTTTCATCTAATTTGGATGAGAACTTGTAGGAGTTTATGAATAAATTAAACACCTGAAGAATCTCACAAATAATGACATACTATTTAATGGCACCGACGTCTTCTTGATTTATTATGCAGAATGTTTCAACAATTTATTATATGTTCATTCCAGATTGTCGTTTAAACAATGTTTCGCCAATTTACAGTAACACCAATAAGTTAAAGGACTGCGGCGCTGGTGATATTCGACTTATAATGGACATCCTTGTACAGACATGGAGAATAACCATCATAATAGCTGGGTGCCACAAAGTCACGAATTGTTTGTAGAGGATTCGTAGATGACAAGATTTCTTGACGTGCTGTTCAATACAATACATAATCACCAGAAAAAACAAAGGCGGTAAAAACTCGTCGAAAACCAGTCTGACCGTGCTTCACTAGAAAATCAAGGTGACCAGTTCGTCGTTTGACACCATCATGTTTAAAATGCTACAAACATCAACTCTGACGCACTTTTGTGTAATGAAGACCAGTGTACATAAAAACACAAGATTGTTTATTTACATTAGAGACGTTTGGTATAACGTTCAACGTTACTGGTATATCAGATCATTGGATTATATTTGGATTATTAG